ACAGTTATAATGTGCAAAAATGCCCTATGTAGTTACGAAAATGCCCTTTCTAGGTTACAAAAGTGCCCATTTATCTATCTCTCTCTCTCTCTCTCTCTCTCTCTCTCTCTCTCCCTCTCTCTCTCTCTGTCTCTCTCCTTGTTCTCACTTCCTTGAGATGCAATAGATGTTGTAGAACTAAATTTATTTCACGCATGAAATAATACTATTTTTTTCCAGAAACGATGAATCCCGTAAAGAAGGTCCTGCTGTTCTTGAAGTAGAGGCACAAGTTTCCCTCCCGGTAAGAATTGTCTGATGAATAATGTACAGGGCTGGATCCAGGAATCTGAGAAAGAAGGGATGGGCGTACAAATTCGGCATTAGACAAATCCTAGTCACTGCTAACTCTACAACCAGAGATCTCGTTGCATGATCCCAATGGAATTGTTGAAATGTGGTTTCCAGAAATGCTATTCCCTACTTTTTGAGATATTTTGGACCAAGAGAGGTTTAAAAAATGCATTCCAACTGGGGGGGAGGGGTTCACCCTTGATAGGCAGTACATTAGGAACAGAATGCAAAAACTCTTATGTATTTGTTTCTTTACAGAAGAATGAGTCAAACAACAAGCTGAATAAGTCCTCCATACTTGAAAAAGTTCCTCAGCGTCTGCACAAACTGTTCGGTAGTGGAACAAATATGAGTGATATTGAGGTACGCGTAAAAACGATTTGAAATGATAGTTAATGTTTGTAAGGCTTTGCACCGTCACGTGATGGCAGCCATGACAGGATGCACAGCAATACAGTATTTTCCCCGATGGAAACTGAATTCTTGCTCATGTAAATCAAATTAGACCGTATTCGATTTTTCCTGCCTCCCGTCATGGCTGCCACCACTTGACGGTGCAAAGCCTCTATAAAGGCGCTGCTACACATCGAAACATTTAGTCATTTAATCAATTTTATTTTGTGCCAAAAGGCTGAAAGTTGCGTGAAAAGGCGTTGCCATACTGCTTCTAAGGTTAAGGTAGTTGTTTCTTGATGCATCTTCCATGCAGCTTGTCACACGAGCTTCAGAACTAGAAGGCAGTCTGTATTATATCATTGCAGAGGGTTCCAGAGAACAGAGATGATTCACAAACAGCTGAACAGGTACTAGTTTGATTAACTTTTTTTTTTTTACTTTCTTATTTCGTCTTACATTTTTACCTTTTTTTGAAACTCGAAACTGGAGTATTAATAATAATAATAATAATAATAATAATAATGGTTTAATCAATAGAATCCACGAGGTGGCTCTTCACCTATCGATAAAACTATCTAATTTACAATAACATACACACAAGATAAATTTACGATAAACTATGAAGCTATAAAATAAATTAGACATAATAAGAAATAAGATTGACATAATTACTATTGGATTATTCTGAGCTAGACAATTATTATACATAAATAAAAAGGACAAAAACTGAAGATATTGGGGCTACGCCCACCGCCCCCAAGCAACCATTGACGAATATACTTGTTATTGTTGTTTAATCTAGCAAGCCCAATGGGAGCGTGAGATCCTACAAATGCCGATCGACTTTAACAGCTGTAAGATTGACCCTGCACCCTTCCAGTTGGTTGAGAGAACTTCTTTACTCAAGGTATTTATTTACTTGTTTGAAACTCATTTGTACTTTATAGGGTTCTCCGGTTTTCCTCCCTCCGTAAAATTCAACATGGGAGTGGAGAGTTGTATGCATAGAATATTGAATGTAGTGGTAGATCCCAGCATCATCATGTGAGTTGAGAGTTGTATGCATAGAATATTGAATGTAGTGGTAGATCCCAACATGTGAGCTGAGAGTTGTATGCATAGGATATTAAATATAGTGGTAGATCC